ATAAAAGTATTTAATAGAAAAGCTTAGAGGATATCAGGGCCATTATTGGTACATTTTTTTAATAAAATGCTTGAAAGTAATAATAAAATGAGAGGCGCCCTAACGAACCCTAAAGCAATCCGCCGTATTCAAGGAAATTAACAATGTTTGTAAAATACCAAACATTTTCAAACGAAAAACCCTGTTTTTGCTGTCTAATTAAATTATACTCTGTTAAATGTTAATTTTAATTTTACTAGAAATTTTCACAAAAACATTTACCTGATACAATTATACAATTTGTGAACTTTTTTACGAATTTATATTTCATGGAAATGTTATATTTAATGTTCCCGGAATATTCTTTGGAATAATCAAAATTTGCTTTTCAGCTGCTTAATAATTTCAATATTTAAGCTAAAATTTTTAATAATTTTATGACAGAGAATGGAGGGACATTTTACTCATAATATTCAAAAGTACATCTTAAATAAATAGCATACAACAAGCTATATATTATATCTTTAAAGTTTCTTGCTAATTTGACCACAATTCAGATGAACAAAACAAAATAATTTGTACATAACTTTTAATGGCCTATAAAAAAAAGCTTAAAAAAGTTAAATAAAAACGTTAAAATACTAACAAAATATTTAACTTTCAACTTAAAATGCTTATTAAATTAAATAAATATTATTTGCTTTTTATTGTATTTTCTGTTAATTTTTTATAGAAGTCTCTATAAATTTAATACAATTGTCTGTTTTGTTTACATAGGTGACCACTTATTTTAAAAATTATTTGTGTTTTAAGTAAAAAATAAAAACACAAAAATCTTTTAAATTTTCTCCACAATTTTAAAAGCATTTGTTTTTCCTAACAGCTAAAGTTGTATTAGTGGCCTGGTTATAAAACAGAAAAAAACAAACTTTAGAAAAGTTCTTCAAAACTTTACTTTAGACCTTTAGTTTTGAAGGCCTTTTTGCTGTATATTTATGTATGAGTATGCGAGTAGATGCATGTTTCTAAGTGATTTTTTCTCCTCTTTCTAGATTTTTTTATTTAGACCAATATTTAGTATATAAATTGTCTCAAATAGTTACTTTTCCTCTCAAAATTTATTTCCAATAAAGCAATTTTCAGAAGAATATAAAGAAGAAAACTTTATAAGTTTAGGTAAATTTTAAAGTGATTTTCAAAGTTTATTGAAAGCTAAGAAAAAATGAATTACACAAAAAAAAATTAATAAGGGTATGTATGAGTGATATTATTTCCTCTGGCAAAAGTGAATATCACTCATACGCACAGGTTGAAATAAGTTTGAAGCAGTTGAGTTAAAAAAAAAAAAAAACTTTTTTTATAATAGACTATAGACTAGACCTTAGACTAGACCTTAGACTAGGCTATAGACAAGACTATAGACTAGTCTATAGACTAGTCTATAGACTAGTCTATAGACTAGACTATAGACTAGACTATAGACTAGACTATAGACTAGACCAGAGGAGCGCAAGATTGCCATTACATAGCACGCGTGATAGGGTAAGAAAATTCTGCTGACGCTAAGTTGATACACATACAATATAGGTTTAATTCTTCTTCTTTTTATAATGAGCAATATCAGTGGGTTTGCTCTCAACTTGAAAAACAAAATCAAATCAGTTGCTGATCAGCACTTGTCGAAGCAAGGTCTGTACGCGACGTTTTTAAAATACACACAGAAATACAACAACAAAATTTTGAGAAAGCCGAATTAATGTAGGAGAACATGAGAGAACAGTTGATAGTTTTTTATATATAGACTTTGATATACGCTGGCTGTCAAAATCCATAATAAACATTTGACAGTTAGCATATACTTTATAGTTTATAGTCATTTTATTAGTATACTTTTATTTAGAATTGAATTATGTTCTCTGCTGCTTTACCAACACAAATAAAACTATGGTACTCTATGGTAGTATGTGTTTGAGCAACACTGGACTAGACTATAGACTAGACTATAGACTAGACTATAGACTAGAATATAGACTAGACTATAGACTAGACTATAGACTAGACTATAGACTAGACTACAGACTAGAATATAGACTAGACTATAGACTAGACTATAGACTAGACTATAGACTATAAATTAGAGTAAAAACTAGACTATAAACTAGACTATTCACTAGACTATATATTAGACTATAGACTAGACTATAGACTAGACTATAGACTAGACTATAGACTAGACTATAGACTAGACTATAGACTAGACTATAGACTAGACTATAGACTAGACTATAGACTAGATTATAAACTAGACTATTCACTACACTATAGACAAGACTATAGACTAGACTATAGACTAGACTATATACTAGACTATAGACTAGACTATAGACTAGACTATAGACTAGACTATAGACTAGACTATAGACTAGACTATAGACTAGACTATAGACTAGACTATAGACTGGACTATCGACTAGACTATAGACTAGACTATAGACTAAACTATAGACTAAACTATAGACTAGACTATAGACTAGACTATTGACTAGACTATAGACTAGACTTTAGACTAGAATATAGACTATAGACTAGACTATAGACTATAGACTAGACTTTAGACTAGACTATAGACTAGACTTTAGACTAGAATATAGACTATAGACTAGACTATAGACTATAGACTAGACTTTAGACTAGACTATAGACTAGACTTTAGACTAGACTATAGACTAGACTATAGACTAGACTATAGACTAGACTATAGACTAGACTATAGACTAGACTATAGACTAGACTATAGACTAGACTATAGACTAAACTATAGACTAAACTATAGACTAGACTATAGACTAGACTATTGACTAGACTATAGACTAGACTTTAGACTAGAATATAGACTATAGACTAGACTATAGACTAGACTATAGACTAGACTATAGACTAGACTATAGACTAGACTATAGACTATAGACTAGACTATAGACTAGACTATAGACCTAGACTATAGACTAGACTATAGACTAGACTATAAGACTAGACTATAGACTAGACTATAGACTAGACTATAGACTAGACTTAGACTAGACTATATAGACTATAGAAGAAGACTAATAGACTAGACTATAGACTAGACTATAGACTAGACTAGACTATAGACTAGACTATAGACTAGACTATAGACTAGACTATAGACTTAGACTATAGACTAGACTAGACTAGACTATAGACTAGACTATAGACTAGACTATAGACTAGACTATAGACTAGACTATAGACTAGACTATAGACTAGACTATAGACTAGACTATAGACTAGACTATAGACTAGACTATAGACTAGACTATAGACTAGACTATAGACTAGACTATAGACTAGACTATAGACTAGACTATAGACTAGACTATAGACTAGACTATAGACTAGACTATAGACTAGACTATAGACTAGACTATAGACTAGACTATAGACTAGACTATAGACTAGACTATAGACTAGACTATAGACTAGACTAGACTAGACTAGAGACTATACTATAGACTAGACTATAGACTAGACTATAGACTAGACTATAGACTAGACTATAGACTAGACTATAGACTAGACTATAGACTAGACTATAGACTAGACTATAGACTAGACTATAGACTAGACTATAGACTAGACTATAGACTAGACTATAGACTAGACTATAGACTAGACTATAGACTATAGACTAGACTTTAGACTAGACTATAGACTAGACTATAAACTAGACTATAGACTAGACTATAGACTAGACTATAGACTAGACTATAGACTAGACTATAGACTAGACTATAGACTAAACTATAGACTAAACTATAGACTAGACTATAGACTAGACTATTGACTAGACTATAGACTAGACTTTAGACTAGAATATAGACTATAGACTAGACTATAGACTAGACTATAGACTAGACTTCAGACTAGACTATAGACTAGACTTTAGACTAGAATATAGACTATAGACTAGACTATAGACTAGACTATAGACTAGACTATAGACTAGACTATAGACTAGACTATAGACTAGACTATAGACTAGACTATAGACTAGACTATAGACTAGACTTTAGACTAGACTATAGACTAGACTATAGACTAGAGTATAGACTAGACTATAGACTAAACTACAGACTAGACTATAGACTAGACTATAGACTAGACTATAGACTAGACTATAGACTAGACTATAGACTAGACTATAAACTAGACTATAGACTAGACTATAGATTAGACTATAGACTAGACTATAGACTAGACTATAGACTAGACTATAGACTAGACTATAGACTAGACTATAGACTAGACTATAGACCAGACTATAGTCCAGACTATAGTCCATACTATAGTCCATACTATAGTCCAGACTTTAGTCCAGCCTATAGACTAGACTATAGACCAGACTATAGTCCAGACTGTAGACCAGACTATTGTCCAGATTATAGTCCAGACCATAGTCCAGACTATAGTCCAGATTATAGTCCAGACTATAGATCAGACTATAAACTATACTATAAATTTATTTGTAGACTTAACAGTGGGAAAAAAGTCATTTAACTAAATATGACAATATTTATGCAACACAATATTAACGTATTACTAAGACAATGCAACAACCCTCAGCAAGTCAACCTTAGACAGACTATTATTAATATTTTCCTCCGTTTTATAATTACAAAAAAATTCAACAACTTATTGCTTTTATAAACCAGAACAATAGTTGACAACAAAATACATTTTTGAATTTCCAAGATGAAATAACAATATTTTCAAAGCCTTTTACCATCAACTACTAACAAACTCTCTTATAACCATTTACGTAAATACAAGTTTTAATTTTGCTCTGGCAAAACTATAAGTAAAATAAATATATATTACTTTTATGCATTTTATTTAATGAAATTAAATCTTTAAGAAAAAACAACAAACATAAAAAGATTTACACAAATAAAAATAAACTAGAATAAAATTAAATTGAAATTCTATTTTCCATTTTACAGCCATCCAAATAGAAGTTCCTCAGTGCGTAATAACAGAAGCAACAATCTAACACAATTAAGTTTTACCAGCAGCAGCAACAACAAAATTAACAACAACAACAGCAGTAGTAACAACAAACGTAACAAAAACTCATTGTCTATGCAACCATTACGTTTTTCGTTACGCCGCAATGGTCGTTCCGATGATAGAGTTGGACGTGATGTTGGCATAGCCACGCTTACTGGCAACAGTAATATGGGAAATTGTTCTCCAGCTGGATTAACGGATGGTCATCATTCGGGATATCAGCATCAACATCAACATCATCATCATTTGCACTATAGTACGACCTGTGAACAAAGTACTCAAACACCAAATTCGATTAGTCGCGAAACGCGTAGAAACCGCAAATTAAAAGTGTTAAGATTTAATTTTAATAAAGTGGCAACGCCAACATTGAATTTGCGGTAAGTTGAAGAAGAAACAAGTAAGAGTGTTATATTCGGCCATGCCGAATCTTATATACCCACCATTAAATCATCCTTATAAATAAACTTTGATATTATCGATCTATGTTGAATCATATGTCGATATTATTATGAACATCAGGGAAATATTTGGAAGAGGGAAATTAATAAAGGCTTAAGCATGGACCGTGCTCTTCCGAATTAAAAATATTAATTTTGTTTGATCCAATATTTATAACCATAAACTCATACAAAACTTGTTAATGTGAAATTTCATCGCTGTAGTCGCATTTGAGCGTTACAGTCACTATCTGAGGGGGACCTTATATGGAGGGTGGGGTCAGTTATAGACCGATCCCCATAAAATGTGATAAATAGTTTTTGGCTAGTACAAAACTTGTTTACGTAGAATTTCACTGCTGTAATAGCATTTTTGAGTCAGTAATGAGCGTTAAAGTAATTTTCCGAAGGGGACCTTATAGGGTAGTCATTTTCTGAAGGGGACTTTATATGGGGGGTAGGGTCAATTATGGACCGATCCTTATAAAATTATATGAAGAGATTTATGTTCCCATAAAACATGTTTGTGCCGAATTTCACCGCTACTGATGCTTCTCTTAGCCAGTTATGGGCGATAAAGTCATTTTCTGAAGGGGACTTTATATGGGGGGTAGGGTCAATTATGGGCCTATCCTTATAAAATTTTACAAAGAGATTTATGTTCCCATAGAACATGTTTGTGCCGAATTTCACCGCTATTGATGCTTATCTTAGCCAGTTATGGGCGATAAAGTAATTTCTGAAGGGGACTTTATATGGGGGGTAGGGTCAATTATGGGCCTATCCTTATAAAATTCCACGGAAAGATTTATGTTCCTATAGAACATGTTTGTGCCGAATTTCACCGCTATTGATGCTTCTCTTAGCCAGTTATGGGCGATAAAGTCATTTTCTGAAGGGGACTTTATATGGGGGGTAGGGTCAATTATGAGCCTATCCTTATAAAATTTTAGAAAAAGATTTAGGTTCCCATGAAACATGTTTGTGCCGAATTTCACCGCTATTGGTTCTTCCCTTAGCAAGTTATGAGCGATAAAGTCATTTTTGGAGGGGACTTTATGTGGGGGGTAGGGTCAATTATGGACCGATCCTTATAAAATTATATGAAGAGATTTATGTTCCCATAAAACATGTTTGTGCCGAATTTCACCGCTATTGATGCTTCTCTTAGCCAGTTATGGGCGATAAAGTCATTTTCTGAAGGGGACTTTATATGGGGGGTAGGGTCAATTATGAGCCTATCCTTATAAAATTTTAAAAAGAGATTTAGGTTCCCATAAAACATGTTTGTGCCGAATTTCACCGCTGTTGGTTCTTCCCTTAGCAAGTTATGAGCGATAAAGTCATTTTCTGAAGGGGACTTTATATCGGGGGTAGGGTCAATTATAGACCGATCCTTATAAAATTTTACAGAGAGATTTAGGTTCCCATAAAACATGTTTGTGCCGAATTTCACCGCTATTGATGCTTTTCTTAGGCAGTTATGGGCGATAAAGTCATTTTCTGAAGGGGACTTTATATGGGGGGTAGGGTCAATTATGGACCGATCCTTATGAAATTCTACGAAGAGATTTAGGTTCCCATAAGACATATTTGTGCCAAATTTCACAGCTATTGGTTCTTCCCTTAGCAAGTTATGAGCGGTAAAGTCATTTTCTGAAGGGGGCCTTATATGGGGGCTAGGCGAAATTGTGGACCGATATTGCCCATTTTCAATACCAAACAAACTGCAGCAACTAGAAGTATCCGTGCAAAATTTCAGCTCGCTAGCTGCTTCCATTTGGACTCTATCGTGTTTTCAACAGACAGACAGACAGACGGACAGACGGACGGACATGGCTAGATCGTCTTAGAATCTTATAAGGACCCAGAATATATATACTTTTATGGGTCTTAGACGAATATTTCAATGTGTTACAAACGGAATGACAAAAACAATATACCCCCCATCTTTTTTGATGGTGGGTATAAAAAAATAATGGACGAAGTAATATGTATGTATAGCATATAGTAAGTTGAAAAGGTTAAGGCTGCAAGGCAAAAGAAAAGAATTTTGTGATGACATCAATGACCATGTCGACAAGTAAATGAAAATTTCAAGGGACAATTCTGGGGTTAAAATTAAAAAACAGGGTCACTTAATAAATATTAATGGGAAATATGGTTAAAGGACTCAATAAATGTTTTTATTCTTAAGGTAATAAGAAGATTCCTTAAACTCCTTTTAAGGAACTTGTTTTTTTGTAACTTTTCCAATCTATATATATGTAAACAACATACATATGTATATGACCCCTGCTGTCTCTAAATTAAATTACTTGGCAATTTTTAATTCCAGTTTAATAGCATTTTTATGGCACCACAAAACCAAATATAAATAACTTTTATCGAACACTTTAAGACATTTTTCCTATTTATCCGCAAAAGTCCAAAAAGAAAAAACTTATTTGTCATTGATTTCATGCGATATTCTGCAACATTTATTAACATTTAATTACAGCTTAAATATTGATGTTCAGTTTTTTTCTCGTGCTATTACATATGTATCTTACAAGTATTTTCCTTTTTACTTTATTACTTATATTTTCCTTCTTTTTTTGTCCATTTAATGTCTTCAACAGTTTCCTGAATAATCGCAATAAACGCAATAACCTTTCCGCCAACGCTGTTGCCACCGAACAAAAGGCAACCAAAGTATTGGGTTTAGTCTTCTTTACATTCGTTCTGTGCTGGTCACCGTTTTTTATACTCAACATTATATTCGCCGCCTGTCCGGAATGCGAAGTACCAGAACATGTTGTTAATACTTGCCTGTGGTTGGGTTATGTTTCCTCCACCATAAATCCAATCATTTATACAATATTTAATCGGACATTTCGTGCTGCATTCATACGTTTGCTCAAGTGTAATTGCGAAAGGTGAGTAGTGTGTATTGGTATGAATAATTGATGAAGTTTGTGAGAGGAAAAAAAATATAAATCGAGGGCAAAGTAAAAAATTAAATAGAAAGAAATACGAGATTAAAGATACAATTCTGTAACTAAGTTAAAGGGAAATTAAAGGGTAAATGTAATCGTGATGACTTTATTAAGTTTGTGGTTTCTCTCATTTGGTGAAGAGTATTTTTACAGGGGAGATAAATGTTGTTGGGGAATAGATTAAGAGATATATAGTCTAGACTATAAACTAGACTACAGACTAGACTAGACTACAGACTAGAATATATACTATACTATCGACTAGACTAACGACTAGAATATCGACTAGACTATAGACTAGACTATAGACTAGACCATAGACTAGACTAGACTATAGACTAGACTATAGACTAGACTATAGACTAGACTATAGACTAGACTATAGACTAGACTATAGACTAGACTATAGACTAGACTATAGACTAGACTATAGACTAGACTATAGACTAGACTATAGACTAGACTATAGACTAGACTATAGACTAGACTATAGACTAGACTATAGACTAGACTATAGACTAGACTATAGACTAGACTATAGACTAGACTATAGACTAGACTATAGACTAGACTATAGACTAGACTATAGACTAGACTATAGACTAGACTATAGACTAGACTATAGACTAGACTATAGACTAGACTATAGACTAGACTATAGACTAGACTATAGACTAGACTATAGACTAGACTATAGACTAGACTATAGACTAGACTATAGACTAGACTATAGACTAGACTATAGACTAGACTATAGACTAGACTATAGACTAGACTATAGACTAGACTATAGACTAGACTATAGACTAGACTATAGACTAGACTATAGACTAGACTATAGACTAGACTATAGACTAGACTATAGACTAGACTATAGACTAGACTATAGACTAGACTATAGACTAGACTATAGACTAGACTATAGACTAGACTATAGACTAGACTATAGACTAGACTATAGACTAGACTATAGACTAGACTATAGACTAGACTATAGACTAGACTATAGACTAGACTATAGACTAGACTATAGACTAGACTATAGACTAGGACTATAGACTAGACTATAGACTAGGACTATAGACTAGACTATAGACTAGGACTATAGACTAGACTATAGACTAGACTATCGACTAGACTATAGACTAGACTATAGACTAGACTATAGACTAGACTATAGACTAGACTATAGACTAGACTATAGATAGACTATAGACTAGACTATCGACTAGACTATAGACTAGAACTATAGACTAGACTATAGACTAGACTATAAGCCTAGACTATAGACTAGACTATAGACTAGACTATAGACTAGACTATAGCTAGCTAGACTATAGACTAGACTATAGACTAGACTATAGACTAGACTATAGACTAGACTATAGACTAGACTATAGACTAGACTATAGACTAGACTATAGACTAGACTATAGACTAGACTATAGACTAGACTATAGACTAGACTATAGACTAGACTATAGACTAGACTATAGACTAGACTATAGACTAGACTATAGACTAGACTATAGACTAGACTATAGACTAGAC